GAGAGGGGCTTACGACGACGTTTCGGTCCGATTTGGACCATTTACAAAGTCACACTGTATCTTTCCAGTCACGGTATTGTGCCTTTTTTGTTATTCATAGCAATATATTTTAACCTAGCAGGGACTTGACGGAGTTGACATAGTTTTTCTTTTCTCAGTCCTCATAGCGCTTGTTCTTGACTTGCGACAGCTGTACAGTCTACCCTAATGTTTCACATTTTCTGTCACTAAAACGTTTTATTCAATTCTATAACAGGTACGCATAAGTACAGTCACACAAATTTAGGTGAATACAATTATCATACATAGTAATACGTGTGTAAATTACCTACAATAATTAAAAAAAGAAGTCAGATTTATTTTTATTGAGATCCTTGTAATGTCTAATTATTTAGAGCCTAGCTGTAAAATACAATATAACATTTCATTTTAGTTAATACAAGTATTGTATCTCTTAGAATCATTTGAATCAAAACTTAGTATTTTATCAAGGCCTGAGCTTGCTACCACCTGCAGCTCATAAGACTGCCATCCCCACGAGCCCCTTTGGGGCGGGGCAGATGGCAGACCAGAGGCCTAGCTTCTCCCTACGAGCCCCGTGAGGGCGGGGACTGTGGCTAGGCCTGGGGACACTTGGTCCCAAAGATGAGGGGGAACTTGTACCTCCTCCCATGGCAGACTTAGGTCTCAAGATACTCCCCAGATAGGGAGCCAAGGCCGGGTCACCACTACTTGGAAAAGACCCGGGCCGGGAGAATACTGGCAAATAAGATAAAAAAAAAATTACTATTTTAAACTATTAATTAATGAATTATGCTGATTCTAAATTCCTTTCTGTATTAGCTTGTTACGTTAAGTTGACTTAAGCCTCCTACCAGATTCGGCAGGTGACATGTACGTAAATATACGAGGATTATTTCAACATCTATATAAGGACAGTAATGATGAGGATAAGTAACTGAGTAATAAATATTTCAGTAGCTAAAGCACCGTCCTAAATTCAGGAAATTTTCTGAAAACTGAAAAAAAAAAAAAAAAAAAAAAAAAAAAGCAATTGCAACTTGTGTAATTACTACCAATTCAGAGTCATGTACTTATATATCTGTTATATCTATGTGACTCTGATGGGTTAGTATTATACCCCTTAAAGAATATCTTATCATTTCACGTACACTTATTAAATTACACCAAAGTGGTTGGGCCACTTACCTTTTATATCCTACCTCTCTCCCCCCTCCCACCCTTTTCCAAAATTTCTATCCTTACACATCCTTCTTCCTTACCCATCTCACCAAAGCTCTGGTCTGGATACCGAATACCGAATACGGCACTTAGCTAGTAGGCTGATGATAGTTAACATACGTTACTCCTAGAAGTTATTTTAATTACTCCACAAACTAGTTAGGTATACTTGAAGGGGCACCTTTACGAGGTTCCATGAATTTGTTTTCTGTATATATTATTTCTTCCTCCAACTTTTTTTTTTTATTTTATTTCGCTCGTAATCCAATCGGCTTCAAATTTTCAACAGGTGTATGATAAGAATGACTAACTTCTTGGAACCTGTGGAAAATATTTTAATCTTCCGAAGCTATAGCGCCTAATAGGTGTTTAATGTGTCGACATGGGTCAAAAAATGCTCTCCTCCCCAGTTTCCAGCAGAAGCCTGCCAGTGGACTGCATATGTAATCTAATGCTTATAATTATAACTCTAATTTTTAAAAGGGGTGGTCCGGTACACCAGCGGGAGGCCTTCGTCAGATGACCAAAAGCTCTAGCTGCGGGTCATCCTATGACCCACGTCAGGAAACACTTGCCCTGTTTCCTGACAAATCTTACCTAACCTAACTTAGTCTGCCAGCAAACTGACAGTTAGGTTTCCCTGATATCTCTTCTCTGTGACGGCTGTCTTTGCGAAATCGTTCAGTGTTCATCACTAACGTCACCGAAGTTTAGCAAGAAAGTCGGAAATGAATCTTGAGAGACATCCGACATCCCAGTAGATATGCTGATAACAGCTCTTCTACAGTATTTGTGGAAAATTAAATTTACCTGGATGTAACTCATAAGGTACATACCAGTAAATGGTAACAAAGATAATTATTCTTTATAAAGGTTACAGAGACAAGTAGGAATTTTAGGACACCTAGGTCGCAAAAAATGTCCCCCTTCGATACCTACCATAATTTATCTCTCCACAAGTCACTCTGGACCTATATTAATTTCAAATGAAATATACATCACCAGGAATTCTGGTAAAAACATTAATATAAGTATGTGGACTACATATTAAATTTAATAAAAGATTACATATACACATTTAGGTAACAGAAGGAGAATTTATAATCATACGACTCACCAATTAGTCTGGAGATTACAGTGTGTCATACCCCCTGCCTAAATTTATGAAGAAAATACTGGCCAGAATTTCAACACAAAATAGACAACTTAGCTGGGGTGCCAAAGCTGTCCTGTCCATCTGCTTAATGCTCACGTTATGCAGGACTGCAAATCCAACGATTTCGGCTCCTATTTGAGAGGTTTTAAGCCCAATATAACCCCTAGAGCGTCGAAAATTATGCACATTACATTAGTGTGCCTGTACCACATATAAAAACAATGGCATCCCTTCCCCTGCTCGTCAGTGCAGGCACAGAGCTTCCCTGTCAGTTCACTTCTTTACAATACACTTTAGAGCAATAGTAATGTATTAATCAGGTATATTTACATTATAAAAATATACAGCATAATTTTGGGAAATTATTTTCCACAGTATTTCTGTAATTACCACTGTGATGACCGCCTAAGGGACCTTGGCAAGTGTTCTTGAATACCACCGATGTTCTCACCTCAGCATCTTGAAGATTCGTCAAAATAAGGATCAATTAGTAACTTCCGAATCTGAGGTCCGATGAAGATACCTTCCTTAAGTTTGATGTCAGTAACTTTGGGAAACCTCTCATTCAGATAAGTAAACCTTGCATCTTCTTTGTCCAAAGATTCGACGAAGCTTTTAATAAGATCTGATGGCATATGTTGAACGTTCTTCCCGCCTGCCCCATATGATTCTCGAGTTGTCCACGTAAACCATACCACGGGCGGGATTGAACCCGCGGTCAGAGAGTCTCAATCCCGCCCGTGGTATGGTTTGTTTGCAATCGTGTCATTACGATTTCGTGAGTCTTGTCCACGTACGTTGAACGCTGTGCTGTTTTGTATCTCGACTGTTTCCTGGGCTCAGGTAAAAGCAGGACTTTGTAAATCAATCTTATAGTACCAGTAACAAACTTATTACTTTTCGTCATCACGGATTTTCCTCCCAAACTTCTCATAATCGACCAGAGTGACAATTTTTTGCATTGTTTAACAGGTTCTTTCAAATATCTAAGAAGAGCTAAAGGCACTGAGGCAGATTTAGTAGGATACTGGAATTGTGAAGATTGCCTTCAAACTTATTTTGCTAGAGTCAGTTAACAAACGCCACATTACAGAATCATGATGTTTACCCAAAGTATCGAAAAGTCCGTTAACATGATAATAGTAAAATAGCGATTCTTCCAATTAAAGTTTCTAGGCTTTCCTGTCGGTTTCTCAGCACACTGATTCTTGTGCCTGGGTGCAGTAAATTCCACTGGCGCATCTGCGTGCCAAGTTACCCTGAATGTTCCTTGGAAAAAAATTAAGATTATGCACGAGATCGTTAAGGTCACTTGGAGTCACTAGATGTGATTCCTGGTTGTTGACTCCAGCCGGTTCTAACCCTCTTGTCTTTAACATTATCTGCGCCTCACCTTTGACAGTATATAAGTCTCCATATTGTTGCTTCAGCTTCAAATGTTCCAGACTATGGAGCAAAACTCTTCTCCAGGTTGAGGGACTAATCATCTCAAAACTACGTTTTCGAGTGTAGAGTGATTACATTGTCTTTACTGCTTCTAGTGCCTCCTTTGTATTTACCTACTGTATAGACAAAACGGAATAAAGATACCTAACTGTTGCATATTTGTCTTAGTTATCAGCCTTCATTAGTCACAAGTGTTGTATGTAAATATGTCATAGTAACCTCAACAGATTCATAATTTTCATCTATATAATCACTGCCACATAATATATCATCAAAGATATCTTCTGCAAACAAAATATTTCATATTTGCTCTCTATTAAAATATCTATTATTTTTTTTTTAAATAAAGCATCTATATTTTTTTCTGAAAGATCAACAGTTATATGAACAAAATGTTGTATCCATTAAATTATAGATTACACGTCTTTACGTATTATACGCCAGTATTTATTAACATGACATTTTGAAGGCCATAATTTTTAATTAAAAATCTTAGGCCTTTTAGTTATATTAACAGTGACTTTGAAAGCATCAATATTAAATGCAATGTCAATAAAGGAATTAATATCACCTTCGGTGAATTGAATTTCAAGCCTCCCTATACGAAGCCCAGCTGTCCCTCTCACTGCTTGTTGAGTACGTCTGGACTGTCTCACTTTATTTCTACTGTCACCCACACTCCCCACACCTACACTCCATTTTCCTACAACATTCATGCTTCCATTCATCTTAGTAGTAGTAGTGGCACAAGTAGTAGTAGTCGCTGAAGTAGTACNTAGTAGAAGTAGTAGTAATGGTAGCAGTAATAGTAGTAACTGGAATAGTAGCTGTAGTAATGTAAAATTACTAGTAGTAGTAATAATAATAAAAACAAAAGTAATAGCAGGAGTAATACTACTAGCAGTGGTAGTAGTAGCAGCATTATTATTGGATGATATTTGTTTTTAAGTCTTCAAGTAAATACACAAAGTCGAAGTGAACTGGCTGATGTTTGGGTCAGTCCGGAACCATAATCAAATCTACAACCAACATTTCTAGTTTATTTGCCAGCTGTTTTTTTTTTCCAACCACGATACTGTGACGAATACTTTTCTTTTAAGAAAGTGCCTAGAAAACACGTTTAAAGTACTGAGTACTTACCGGTGACGTCGACCATCAGTCCCAGAGCCATGACGACCCAGGCCACGCTTAACCACACCATCTGCAATGTTATACCAGCTGGTGAGATGGTAAGTCTTTCCTTTTGCAGTCCAGACAACCCCATTCCAACAAATTTATCCCACGCATAATAAACACTGTGTTAGGTAAAACGAAACAGGTGCAACTAATGCGACATTTTTACTGTGGCAACGTTTCGCTCTCCAGGAGCTTTGTCAAGCTCCTGGAGAGCGAAACGTTGCCACAGTAAAAATGCATTAGTTGCACATATGTCCTTTTACCTAACACATTGTCAGTAAGTCTACTAACATTATTAAATAACAAACACGAGCTTTTTACATATTTACTATATAGAAAATATTAAAGAACCCAGAATTCCAGTAATTTCTAATAATCTGCTTTAACAGGGACACTCCAGGTACTGTGTCCACTGCGTGTCCAACAAGTGTACTCCAGGCATAGTGTCTACCACGCGTCAGTGTTGGACACGTGTCCTCTGGATTGTATTGTCCACCGCGTGTCCTTGGTGGACATGTGGTGGACAATGCACTTCGGGTAGTGTTTCCATCACGTGTCCAGCAACGACACTGAAGATACTGTGTCCACCACTCATCCAACAAAAAGCTCCAGGTACTGTGAAAACCTGGACATACCAAGCAATGTGTCCAACGAGGACACTCCAGGTACTGTGTCCACTATGCATCAAGCAAGAACGCTCCTTCTTTTATGTTCACCACTCATCCAGCAAACAGTGACATACGGGACAGTGACACCTGCGAGACAGTGACACCTGCGGGACGGTAACACTGGACAGTGACAACTTCGAGAAAGTGACGTTTGTGGAACACTGACACTGACGGGACAGTGACGCCTGCGAAACAGTGACATTTGCGGAATAGTGACACCTGTAGGACAGTGACATCTGTGACAGTGACGACTGCATAACAGTGACACCTGTAGGATACTGGCACCTGCGGGACAGTGACAACTGTGACAGTTACGACTGCATAACAGTGACACCTGTAGGATACTGGCACCTGGGGGACAGTGACGACTGCGTGACAGTGACTACTAAAAGACAATGGCAACTGCGAGACAGTACCAAGCATCCACTTCCCTGGTTCAAGAGCCAGGCACTGTCATCAAGTCATCTCCCTGGAAGAGTTGACTGTGTTCTACTCTGGCTCATAAGCAAATCAAGTCAAAATAATATTCATAAGATTCGCAAGTTGATTCGCAGAGATTCGGAAAACAAATCAACTTCTTCCTTACTGAATAAAATCAGGTCTTGAGTTCTCGTCCTAAAGACCTACGGTAGATAGTCAGGGTACCTGATGCTGCTGTCCATAGATAGTCAGGGTACCTGATGCTGCTGTCCATAGATAAGAATAAACTTGCAATGCGTAGCTAGTTACTGCAGGAAATTTATTACGAAAATAACTGGTAAAGGTAATATAATAATGAGTCATTGATAGTATTACGAACACAGAGTGATGTAGTGGAGGCAGGATTCATATGTAGCTTTAAGAAGAATTACGATCAAGTTTTTTCGAGCAGGGAGAGAGTGGACCTATTAGCGACCAGCGAAGACGTTGGGTCAGGAGCTGTGGTTCAACCGCTGCAGCCACAAATAGGTGATGTCTAGTGGGCCAGTACCACCTGTCAACAAACTCTCAACTAGGCAGCGCATGACAAATCAAAAACGGCAGAGATAAATTCTTAATCCGTATATACCTTCACCAAAACTCTATATGTGTAAGTATTTATTCAAGATGGTATATACGAGTAAGAGCCATTGTAAGAAGAGTCTTCCACCAGAGATAATGGAAGTCTATCAATACTGCTCCACGAGTTAAAGACATCGCTTCACAGAAGTGGTGGACTGTCACATGATTGGCTGATGAACCAGCAGTTAGCATAACAGTGGGGTCCTGACTGTTATACTCTTAACTGCTGGTTCACTGGTCGGGAAGGCATGCCAGAAAAGGGTATGTGACATACGTCAAATTTTAACAAAATTTTCACATGCCACTGATAGGAAGGTCAGTCAAGAACAGACAACACCATTATTTAACAAAGTTAGCCGTCAGGGATGGACACGAGTGACTGGGACTGTATTAATAACATTTTAGATACCAGAGTTTCAGGGGTAAGATGTACATTGTGTTCAAGGAAAACCTAGCTTTGACTTTTAACTTTCATCTTTCAGGTTGAAGATCGTTTTTATGGTAATTTCACCTCGGTGGGTTATTAGGTCAGTATTCACCAATAGCATCGAATTCTATGGCGCATTTTCAATGTTGTCTTTCCGTTGGTTGTGATGCAAACGGGTGGGGTTGGAATTTTAGTACTCACTTTCCATGGTTCAAACCCTACCCGTTCGGTAGCTTAGTTTTATTTTTTCTAGATACCTACTTACTGCTAAGTGAACACGGACAACAGATGTGTGGGGACATGCCCATACGTCTACATCTGCCAAGGAATCGAACCCAGGTCCTGGCGGTTGTGAGCTACACGCTCTAAATTTCAAATATTATTACAACATTAATGTGAAATGAAAGTCACTACACGTATCGAACATGAGTCAGAACTTAAAAAAATTTACTCATAAACAGAATAAAAGACCATGATAACAAATAATAATCTTAGTGACCTGGACTCCGCCACCAAATATAGAAACCAAATGATTTCTCGTACCTGGAGACGCAGGAAAGCACTGTTCAAGCAGCGGGATTGTGACGGAGTGACCAAACAACCCGTGAGAGCATAAGATAGTCTTGGCTCCTCCCTCCATCACCCGACAAATCCTCAACCAACTGAAGATCGCTTGAGTTAATGTCAGCTCTAGTGAAGAGTGCACACTGCTGCCATTTACACCTGAAAATTCAGTCTTCACTCTTCAGAAATATTAATTAACGTAGGTTGTAGTACATTATAATAATTATATAACTGATATGTACTGTTAAAGAAATAAGTCAAGAAAATAAGGAAGGGAGCTGAGAGAAGAAAGCAAATTCGCAATATCTTGCAGATGGTGCTAGTGATGAGATGGATGGGTGGGTGAGTGGGTGGGTGGTTTGATGGTATGGTATGGCTTCCGCCTGTCAACACACACGTATTCAAAACTTAATCTAAGATCTCAGGTGCCCAACAGAGCACCACGATACTCAAACATTAATTTAGGCGATTATCACGAGATCTTAACATAGACATAGGTATTTACGATTCAAAGAATGAAACATCCAAGATAACAAAAATACGATGTGATATTTTACATCTCAACAAAACACAAAGAAAAAAATAATGCAATCAGTTACATGTAATATAATACAATATTACTGAAAAGCACACTATAACACAACATAAAATATAAACATAAAATAAGTACCAAATCGCTTATGGTAGGAAACACATCTATACAATACACACCAATGACTTGTATCAAGAGATAAATGACGGAAAACCTTTTAACTTCTTTACATACAAAGTTTTAACAGTTATAGCGACGTCACCATCACATAGGAGACATATATAAACATAGAGATAACAAAACATTCACATAACTGTTATACACAATTAGTCACAGCTGACCAGCCCGTTAGATTACCCACTGAACGCACACAAATTATCTCAAATCTCTGAACTCCAAGGCTTTATATTCAGACGGGAAGTCTTTCTCCCATCTCCCCTCATATACCAACCTATTTCGACACTTTGTCCTATGAATCGTTCCCGCTAAAACCCGAATTCTACCATTACCTTCAACGTGCCTCATAACCCATGATACATAAATATAATCGGCCACGATGTATGACACCACGTTGTACACACATGTAAACCCCACCTATATCAAAACTCAGCGCTCGGAGCGCCGACAAACATCCCCCCCCCCACCAATCGCAAAACCCTACTGAACCACTCACGTAGTTAGTTAGTTTAATATGTTTATTATGCACCCCATACCCATCCAGTGGGCGGTAGTCAAAAGATTACAGAGGTACATAATGGGTCCAGGGACTGGGCCTCAAAGTTTTGATAGCTGAGCAAGTTACAGAGGTAATGAATTCACAATTTACAAAGGTAATGAACTCACAATTTACAAAGGTAATGAACTCCAGGTAGGTCTAGTCACAATCATGACAAGTTACAAAGGTATTTACAGATTACAGAGGTACACAATGGGTCCAGGGACCGGGCTCCAAAGTTTTGATGGCTGAACTAGGTACAAGGTAATGAACTCACAAGTTACAAAGGTAATGAACTCACAAGTTACAAAGGTAATGAATACTGTAAGAATACCATTCTTACCACTCACGTATCATACCTAAAGCTTCACAGAAATACACAACATGAAAAGCGGATTCCTCTGCCCCGCACGCCGAACAACCCCGGTCCTCCTCCAAACGCAGATTATACAACACTGCCCCGGACGGCAGGATTCCATGCAAAAATTTAAAAACCACTTCCCGTACTTGAGGAAGGAGACGCAACTGTTGGACCCACCTCCATATATCACTCCACGCGTACATGGGGTGCACCACGACTCTCTCCATGCCCGCCCTTCCCAAAGTACATAATTTAACACTCCGCAAGTCCCCCATGCGCAATAACACGCCGTCTCGCACCTAATTAAACCCCTCCCTCCCCACCACCTGCGCAGGTCGCGATACATTTCAGTTAACCCACCATGCATCCCACCCAGTCAGAGAAAACGACGCTTCAAGTAACACGCTATGACACAAGCCTCTAGACTCTAGAGGAATGAGACCTAACCCTCCCTGATGCATTGGTGTCTCTACCACCGCTCTTGTGAGCCAATCGCACCCCGAGCCCCACAAAAATCTATAAACTCTATGCAAAAGACGTTTGACGTCCCCCTGCAACAGAGGATACAGCGCAGCAACATGCCATACTTTAAGATAAGAGATAAGATTTCGTTCGGATTTTTAACCCCGGAGGGTTAGCCACCCAGGATAACCCAAGAAAGTCAGTGCGTCA